ACATCACATTGAACAAAGTGATAAGTAGTGCTGTGGATCTCCACCAGGACTACTTCCACAGGAAGTGTTGTATGAAATATAGGGGCGGTGGGGTAGCCTAGTGGTTAAAGCGTTTTGTGAAGCCCATTTCTGGCTCCCATCAATATTGCCCGAAGACCAAAACTCAGTTCAGCCGAAGACCCGGGTTCGAATCCCCACTTGGGTACAGTTTGTGAAGCCCATTTCTGGTGTCTCCTTCTGTGATGTTGCTGGAATATTGCTTAAAGCGGCGTAAAACCAAATTCAGTCAGTCAGTTTTATGAAATATGCCATTGAAACATTATGAATGTTTAGAATATATCTATCATCATAGTTCAATCGAGAGTCAGCCCAGAGTGAACACTCTCCTGCTATTTGGAAATCAAGGATAAATCTATCAATTTTTTTCAACTCAATAAATGGAAACTGGTTCTGGGTCTGTATACAGCCACAAATCAGGTTATATTGAATTCGGTCGGTCAAAGAGTTGTTGGACAATATTAAGGGCTTCAGGCTTGACCCACGCTGCTACATCACTCAACACATTTACATCTGTTGTCTCCCAAGGTAAATGACTTTGATAAACATATACCCCTGGTCACCCAGCAGTGAGTGGGTACCTGGAAGGATGTAATAATACACAACTCAAATCTTATTTGGATTCCACTTCAGATTTCTAGATTACTGTTGTCTTGAAGGATTGAATGGCATCGTGTATATTCTCCAGTACAGTGAGAGTAATATGTACCTCAACAGGGTTATGTCAAGGTTCTGTTGCTCATAACAGATTTTGAACTTATGACTATGGCTTGTGTAAAAGAATTTGAAATGATGGATAAACTTATTTATTCTCTGCAATTATAAAATAGCAGAAAAAATTCTTTGATTCAGAAATATTTACTTTTCCCATGTGAAATTTAAAAATTAATTAATCACAATTTTGATACATTGTATGTGCCCATAAGCATCCAAGTGTGTTGAAACATATGAAGTGGTGTGATATGTATCTATACTACATGGTATTATCACATCGTTGAGCACATGTCTGAGAAATTAAATCCGTGTCTCAGTGTGAGATAGCAGGATCTTTAGCCATAGATAACAGCATCTTAAATAGCCAGAGATAGTATGTGCGTGGGATAAAAAGCCTACCTCCAAGGATCGGCAAATATTTGGTTATTGACATATTCTGACATGTATCAATAAAAACAGCTTTGTCATGAACTATATGGGAATGATGTATGAGGGAATTAATGAGTTAAGTGGGGCATCTGGCATGAAAGAAGGAGTGACTAAGGATGGAAAAATGAACGAGAAATGAGCATTAAAGGGGTGTGTGAAGATATGAAAATTCGGGAAATGAAGGAGTGGGAAATGAATTAAGATATGAGATAGATGAAATGAGGAAACAAGGAAAGTGAGTGAGAGAATGCATAAGTTGAATAGGGAAGAATGAATGGAAGGCTTGAGTGAGGATTCAAGAATAAAAAAAGAAATGAGGGTTAAAAGGGTGAGTAAGGGAATGAGGATTCACTGTATGGAGATAGTAATGAATGAAGGTGAGAGTAAATGAAGAAAAAATGGAGGGAGGAATGAGAAGAGTGAAGGAGTGATTAAAGCAAGAGGGAAAGCTAAATGTGACTAAACATTGAAATTTGTTGAAAATGAAGGAAGGATCAAATTGTAAACAGTATAATGAATATATGGATGAGGAGATGAAGGAATAAAAGAATAATCACTGATAATAGGAATGAGTGAAAGAAGGAAATATTAAAGGTTTAAAGTGTGAATCAGCAATTTGTGAATTTGTAGTGTATCAACATGCATGAGTGGGAAACAAGATCAGGACATCAGAAGCAAATCGCATTAAATCATACTTATTTCCAGTAGTGTTGGGAATTGGTTGAAATCTCACAATTGATGATTGCTTCATTACCAACGAACAATCATCGAAAAAAATTGGTTAGCGTCATTTTTCAGATTTTCCTATCCAGGTTGTTATTGCAGATATGTATAACATGATGCAACTTGCTACTTTAAAGTGATGACTAATATATCATGAACATAAACTTCCTGGAGTCTTCAAGAAATATTCAGTCATGGCTTTTCAGTTAGTGAAGTGAGTTTTCTAAGAATTAAACACGTTTTCATGCCCTGACAACTTCAACGATATGTTCCATTGTCAAGTATTTCAAAGACTAAAAAAGTAGTTAAAAAGTGTTTATGTTCGATTATGAGAAAATGTGATCGATTGCTTGGTCGTTTGGTCACTGCGACCAATCTTCGATTATTTCAATTAATCGGAACACCACTAATTTCCAGCTGAAATAGTGTCACTGATGATTTTTTTCAGATTTGAAAGATATTGACTTTTCGTGATATCCGTTTGATGATTCCTTTAATGGACTTCAAAGTTTCTGTGAGGAATGGTGGCCTTGACATTGAAGGGGCAGCAGATTGCAGAGTTGAGTCACTTGAGCATGGCAGAAGCCTTATAATGAAATAGGGTTCAAATCTTTGCTTTATCCAGATTGTGTGTCTACATTTGTCAACACGATACTCATGGATTTCACTTCTGAAACATGCTGTTCAAAGTGGTATTTACCCAAACTCATTCACCTCAAAGGGTTCTCTCCTGGGTTCGATTCCCCACATGGGTACAATGTGAACCCCATTTCTGGTGTCCCATACTGTTATATTGCTGGAATATTGCTAAAAGCAACGAAAAACTAACCTCACTCACACACTCAAAGGGTAAATCTCTCCTGGGTTCAATTCCCCACATGGGTACAATGTTTGAAGCCCATTTCTGATCTCTCCCGATGTGATATTGCTGGAATATTGCTAAAATCGGCGTAAAACTACACTCACCCACTCACTCAAAGGTCCTCATTTGTGACTAAATCAAATTGTGAACTCACTTATATGACGAAAGAAAACAATTGTCACAATATCGGTACATGCATTCATCATTAGTCGTAACAAATGTAAATGGAAAATGAAACCAAAATGAAACCAACATGAAACATGAGTGAAAGTATGTAAAACCTAACATTAGCTGCACTGAATAGATGGTTTAACAGCACATTGATGGGCTTTACTGTGGGATCATTTAACGTAACCATAGAACAGAGTCTGTACACAATCTTAGTTAGAATGTACTTAACGCCTAGTTACATTACATGATTGGCACACACCTTAAAATGTTTCAAAGCTTATGATTAAAGTGTTCAAGTGACTGTGTCAAGATTAATGTCGAAGGTCCAGTTGTAATCAGTTTCATAGAAGCTGGCAACGAACCACATCACCGCATTATAGCAATGTTTAACAAACCCTTTGGTGAAAAGATGAGGCATTAAGATACTTTGATACGCATGTTGATCTACTGATGACTCCAGTAATGACTCCAGCTGCAGGCAATTTGGGCAGGATGCATGCTGCAACATAGTAGAGGTGCAGTGTGCTGGAGTGCAATACTGTGCAAAACAGTCTATTACATTGTGATACTGCGCTATACGGAGTGCATTCAGAGGTGCAGTGTAGTACTGGATACCCTTTTGAGTAGCGTCTTAGTAAAGATTTCGGATTTGTGTTGTTAGTTCAAAATTGTCTCGTTCTCTTTATAATATACTCTTTGATGTGTTACTCTGTTCTCTTTATGATATACTGTGGGATGTGTTCCTCTGTTCAAGATTGTCCTCTTTATGATATACTGTGGGATGTGTTCCTCTGTTCAAGATTGTCCTCTTTATGATATACTGTGGGATGTGTTCCTCTGTTCAAGATTGTCCTCTTTATGATATACTGTGGGATGTGTTCCTCTGTTCAAGATTGTTCTCTTTATGATATACTGTGGGATGTGTTCCTCTGTTCAAGATTGTTCTCTTGATGATATACTATGGGATGTGTTCCTCTGTTCAAGATTGTCCTTTTTATGATATACTGTGGGATGTGTTCCTCTGTTCAAGATTGTCCTCTTTATGATATACTATGGGATGTGTTCCTCTGTTCAAGATTGTTCTCTTTATGATATACTGTGGGATGTGTTCCTCTGTTCAAGATTGTCCTCTTTATGATATACTGTGGGATGTGATCCTCTGTTCAAGATTATTCTGTTAATAATTAACAGTGCCATGCATTATTCATTGCAAAAGCAGTAAGAATATGAATATCGAATTGTATGTAAATTCTTTTGAAATCTTATCACCTGAGATTAATGATCATCAAGCTTGAAGGAATACTGTTTGTGTTACAGTTGAAATGTTCACAACTTGTCGTTGAAATATTCACAACTTGTCGTGCATGGTTTCATTCCTTAAGGTAAAAAATATCTCAGAGATTCAAGTTTAGAGGATACTGTTTCAAACAGTGTTTAACCATCTCAGACACTCGCTTAAGCTCATCTCAGACACTCACTCATATCAAGACACATTCATTATGAAAAAGTGTATCCTGCTCCACAAGTGACTCCGAAAACATGCAATGGCAAGTCAACTGATCAGCTGGAACAAAAGATTAACCAAAAGGAATTGCATCGGGCATCATTATGGTCACTGTGTCAAATTTGCAAATGTCCACCATGTTTCTATCATAAACCTTTCTGAAAGCTTTGCTAACCATGAAGAACTGGGCAAGAATTGGTGTTCAGCAACCCATTCTTGTTGTAAGAGGCAACTAAAGGGAGCAGGTGGTCAAATTCACTGACTTGGTTGACAGGTCATGTATCCCAGTTGCAATTACATCCATGCTTTGATGTTCATCACTGGATTGTCTGGTCCAGATTCGATAATTTACAGACAGCTGCCATATAGCTGGAATATTACTGCCTGCAGAGTTAAACAATAAACAAACATTAAAGCTTTGCCGAGGCCTTTAGTATTGTAACCATGATCAAACATCTTTTGAGCAAGACAGGTGGGACCTGTCTCTTCCATTAAACAGTAAACCTGTAACCCTGTATTCTGACATAGAAGCATCTGTTTCAGGCATCAACAACTCCACTACAATGAATGGTTCCGGTGAGAATATGTTATTGAATATCATTTGGTTATTGTATGGAGTGACAGCTTTCAATAACAATATTAATGCAGTAACATGAGGTATATAGAAAGTGTGACAAATGCAGGTTTCACTTAAATCGAAAAAGATCCGAAAAAATGTAATTTCTGCCATTATTCTTCTTATAATTATGCCTTTTATCAAAAAGTTGACAATGATTGTCAAAACATCTGGCATATATACACACTAATGTCTGTCTGCTGGCAATTGTTTTTTTAATGACATTTTTGTGTTTTAGAAGATAATATTGTCAGTGCATTATTTGAGCTTTAGTTCATGGTCTTGAAAGCTATACTGTTGACAAACACTGATTCCAACAAATAATTATGTATGTATATTTAGTTGTGTTAGTTTTATGCCACACTTGTCGATAGTCCATATTTCGTTATATAATTCATGTAATTCCAATGTAATTGAAAGTGGCAGCCATTCATCTTGTATCTGGGGGAATGGAGAACAAATAGATACCCTTGTACAAACCCTGGCTTGTCCGGAATAGAGTGGTTATCACCAAGGCAACACAATGTGCTATGATTACTCAGTATGGCTATCTGGTATGGCATTTTAGTGTGGCTACTGAGTATGACTACTTAAAGTATGGCTACTAATTATACTACTTACTATTCAACTTACTTAGTATGAGTACAGGGGCGGTGGGGTAGCCTAGAGGTTAAAGCGTTGGCTCATAACTCCGAAGACCCGGGTTCGAATCCCCACATGGGTACAATGTGTGAAGCCCATTTCTGGTGTCCCCTGCCATGATGTTGCTGGAATATTGCTAAAACTAAACTCAGTCAGTCAGTCAGTAGTATGACTACTTAATATGGCTACTCGGGATGACTACTTAGCATGGCTACTTAGTATGGCCAATTAGTATGGCTACACAGCATGACTACTTAACATGGCTATTGAGCATGACTACTTAACATGACTGAGTAAGTGAGTGAGTTCAGTTTTATGCTGCACTCATCAATATTCCATCTATATGGCGCCAGTAAGTAAATAATTGAGTCTGGACCAGACAATCCAGTGATCAACAGCATGCTCATCTATCTACCTAATTGGGATACGATGACACATGCCAACAAAGTCAGCCAGCCTGACCACCCAATCCTGCTAGTAGCTTCTGATGACTTCTTCAAGATTTTTTCAAAAGGAAACTGAACAGGGATATTCTGAAAACACTTTCTAAAACCGGTGTAACATGTAAGAACATATACATGCATTTTCCCATTACTTTTCTGTTTCAAGCACCTGTGAGTGAGGGAGTGAGTTGGGTTTAATGACCCTTTTTACAGAATTCGAGTTATACCATGGCGTGCCAGCTTGACAGGGAAGAATATTCCCCACTTGGTCAAACCTGGATGCACAAAAATGGCACATCTATTTTTCAATAGAGGCTTTCTTTGACTTTTATAAGGTAATCATATTAGATACTACCACTTGCTTATTCCTCTATACTAATTGTGCATCTTTTCTACACAATTGGAATAGATAACATGTGTCAACCAAGTCAGCAAGCCTGACAACGAGATCCTGTTAGTTGCCTCTTACAAAAAGTATGGATTACTGAAGACCAATTCAAACCCGGATCTTCATGGGTCACTTAGCATGACCAGTTAGCATGACTACTTGCCATGACAGCTTAGTATGACTGTTTAGCATGACTACTTAGTATGACTTACTATGGCTACTTACTGTGACCCGTGAAGGTTCGGGTTAGAATTGATCTTCAGTAACCCATGCTTGTAGTAAGAGGCCACTAACGGGATCGGGTGGTCAGGCTCCCTGACTTGGTTGACACATGTCATTGGTTCCCAATTGCGCAGATCGATGCTTATGCTGTTGATCACTGGATTGTCTGGTCCAGACTTGATTATTTACACACAGCCGCCATGTAGCTGAAATATTGCTGGGTGTGGCGTAAAACTTAGCTCACTCACTCACTTACTGTGACTTTTTAGTATGACCCATTTCTGGTGTCCCCTCCCCAATGTGTGAAATTGCTGGAATATTGCTAAAAGTGGCGTAAAACTAAACTTTGTCACTCACTTAGTATGGCTACTTGGTTTTGCTGGCTACTTAGCATGGCTTCTTAGTATAGCTAGCTTCTTTGTATGGCTACTGCCTGATTGGTTGATGACCTTGGAAGATAATCAGAGGTCACATTTTTACAGTTCTGACAACTTTTTTCTGCTCCAGACATAATTGTTTCTATCTGATGTGGTGGAGCTATGCTATTGCAAATAGCCATTTAAACCAGTGATAACAGCTGATGTCATATTCTAATCCATTTCAATATAAAACCTCTAAAATTAAGTTATAACTCGTGTATACTCTGCACTTTTGCAAAACTTCAGTGAGGGTCTTCTACTTTGCAGGGACATCAGTTGGTACAGCAGTTAATTTTAGCAAAAGGTTTTGTTTGTGAGGAAGATTTTAGGTATTCATATTTTATGTATTTGATACATCTTGCAATAAATAAAATGAATATATTTGCCAATGCAATATAATTGTTTCTAACAAACGCTTTGACAATTGTTCGCTGATGTGTGTGTAATTGTTCTGATAACACAGTGACTAAGAAAACACTCTCCGGGGAAACACTGTGTATTTGTCATGTAGATAGATATACAGTGTTCAAGCACTGCATGTATGCATCATTCTCTAGTCTAGTACAGGTTTCATGGTGTATCTGACATGGATGTGGAATACACATGTGTAATTTCATGCCTCATTCACAGCAGAATATGTCACTTCTTATATACAGCATGGTGCACCCTCATGTTTAATCATGTTGTGCGGTGCATGAAGTCAAAGCTAGATTAAAAGTCTTCCAGAGCCCACAATTTATCATTGTAGAGGTATTTCTGACTACTGGATGTATTATGAGAAATTCTACTTTCACAAGTTCTTTGTGTCAGAAGGCTGTGGGTAGCCTAGTGGTTAAAGCATTGGCTTGTCATGCTGAAGGCCCAGGTTCGATTCTCAACATGGGTACAATGTGTGAAGCCCATTTCTGGTGTCCCCAGCCATGATATTGCTGGAATATTGCTAAAAGCGGCGTTAAGCCATACTCATTCATTCATTCTTTGTGTCAGACTAAACAGTAATTTTGAAACATGGACTGTATGTTTTCGAACTCACCGATACAAAAAAGCTGCCAGTGACAATTTTCAGTGGTCAGGGTGGGGGCAAGGTGTAGGGATCTGTCAGTTTTATGCACAACAGACCTTCTTTGCTAAAGGGCAGTAGCATATGACTGAAATGGTGACCATTATTTCTTCAATTTTCATTTTCATTCATTAGAGTGAGGGGTGGTGGGGTAGCCTTGTGGTTAAAGCGTTCACTCATCATGCCGAAGATCCAAATTCGATTCCCCACATGGGTACAATGTGTGAAGCCCATTTCGGGTGTCTCCTGCCACGATATTGCGTGAATATTGCTAAAAGCGGTGTTAAACTAAGCTCGCTCACTCACTCACTCATTACAGTGGATCAGTTTTAGATGTTACATCATTCATCCCTATTATGACCTGTACCTAATGTTTATGGATTTTTTTCGGTGAACAATTAACCAGCCTTTGCATGTGTTTGTGACAGGTGTCAGCCTCGGTTTGGCCAGGATATCTGATTTCACTAATACCTGTATCCTCACTGTTGGAAAGTGTTTTGTAACACATTTTCATGACAAATTTGAAATCATCATCTTGTTTCTTATGATTATGGAAATCATTCTGTCACCGTTTTTCAATAATGGTGTTCCAGAGGAGTAACAGATGGTTGAAGTCCATCATTCATGCTCTATCTCAGTCAATACATGTTTCATCAGCTCATAGCAACCCTTCTCCACAATAGATGAAGATGTTTATTCAAATCTCTTATCTTTCCATCCTTCTAGCAGGCATTTGTAACAATAAAAGGTTTGGCATCTCTTGGCCAATCAAGTTTTCCATGGATACCATCTGAATATCACGATTTGTGATCTTTTAATCCATTATGCACATGCAACTGTATTAATACATTGTACAACATTTGTTTTAATACAATTTACAAGATCTCATTAATTCTTGTATTCCGGGGATGAGATATGGTTATCAAAGCCTATGAACTTTCATTCCTTGTGCAACTACACTGTTATTAGAATATCAGGTGGAAGCCGCGGTGGCTGAGCAGGTTAGGCGACTGACTTTGTGTGCTGGCGATTAGGTGCCTGACTCTGAGGGTGTGGGTTCAAATCTCGGATGGGACTCAACCCAACAAAAGTTCCAGAATCTGTACTAAGAAAGAGTAATCCCAAATATGACATATGTTATATTAGAGTATTGTATGACATTTGTATCAATACAGTGTACTACATATCATGTCAACTCTTGTATTCAGGGGCAAGTTGTGGTTTCAAGGTCTGTGATCTTTCAATTCTTGTGAATGCACTGCATTAGCCCATTGTACAACATCTGTATCAATACAGTGTACAACATCTCACGTCAACCTTTGTATTCCAGGGATAAATTGAGGGCTGTGAAAGTTCAATCCTTCTGCAAGTACACTGTATTAGCCCATTGTACCACATCTGTATCAATAATACAACATCTGTACCATCTACAACATCTCATGTCAACTCTTGTATTCCAGGGATAAATCAAGGGCCATGAAATTTAAATCCTTGTGCAAGTATGCTGCATTAGAATATTGTATAACATTGTACACAACATGTATCAATACAATGTACAGGGATAACATCTGAATTTAAATCCAATGTCAACTCTTGTATTCCAGGGATAAATCAAGGGCCATGAAATTTAAATCCGTGTGCAAGTATGCTGCATTAGAATATTGTATAACATTTGTATTAATACAATGTACAACATCTCATGTCAACTCTTGTATTCCAGGGGTGAGGGGTCATCATGGACAAGGTTTACCTCAAGTACAAGGAGTCATTGATGAACTCACAGCGCCTCATGGATGAACTCGGCATTGACCACGAGGGGGACAGTTTGGGGATGGGAATTATCCGAAAGGAGATGGACCTCAACAATGATGAAAAGCAGTACCTGTTGGCGGTGGAACGAGGAGACGTCCCGTCAACGAGGAACTTCCTCAACAACCTCTCCGTGAATGGCATCAACATCAACTGCGTGGACCCTCTGGGTCGCACAGCCCTGCAGGTGGCCATCGAGAATGAGAATATTGAGATGATCGAACTGCTCCTGACGTTCAATGTGGAAGTGGGAGATGCTTTGTTACATGCAATAAACGAGGAGAATGTGGAGGCTGTGGAGTTGATACTAAACCATGAAGTCAATACCAAAGGAGAAGAGGTGAGTGGACATTTTCAGCCATGCCACAGGTTATTTTAATAGATTTCAAAACAAATTACACATGCCTTCATTTACCACAATGTATCTAACATAATTTTACACAGGGGCAGTGGGGTAGCCAAGTTGATAAAATGCTTGCTTGTCATGCCAAAGGCATGGGTTCAATTTCCCACATGGGCACTACGTGTGAAGCCTGTTTATGTTGTCACCTGCTGTTATATTGCTGGAATATAGCTAAAAGCAGCTTAAAACCTCACTCACTCACACATCAATGCATCCCAATTGCTTATATCAATGCTCATGATGTTGATCATTGGATTGTCTGGTCCAGACTTGATTATTGACAGACTGCCGCCATATAGCTGGAATATTGCTGAGTGTGGCATTTAACAAGAAACAACACTTACCGATTCCAATTATCAGCAATTCCTGCTTTCATTTGGCAAAATATACCTTTGAAAACTTGACAAAAATGTTTTCTTGAGGTATTTTCTCTTCATTTTCTTGAAAATGTTTGTTACCTCCTCAAATGCTGAAATGATCAGTCCCCCTTCTGACTGCCAATTGCTTGCAGTGATTTAGTGAACTGCTTCCAGACAATGAGCCGTTATCTGGTGAAGGAGTTCAAGGACAGAGTCATGACCCATGTTTGTTGCCATTAGTCTTCCGTGCTGTCTGTAAGAACAACTTAGATGATGAAGAATCCTGTCTTAATCAAAGACTTCTGAGGTTTACTTTTTAACCCAAACATATTACTCTTATACCAGAGGTGCCCGAGAACAGTATTAGTTGGCTCTCAAATATATGACCACGTCATTCTTGTGCACATTTGCAATTTGTCCTGTTGAAGATGACATTATGGACCTTTGGTTGATGGAATCTTGCTGAAGACATATTCCATTTAATATGTGTCACACTCTGCTTGCAATATTGATAATGTACTTATACATACTCAGTGATACACAAACATCTGGGTGCCATTGTACAAAGCTATCATAGGGCTAAGGTGATCGTAACTCCCATACCTTAACATAGACTTACGACTGTGGTAGCTCTAAGGTTGTTTTGTACAATGAAATGCTTTCTATAGTCTGTTTGCGGTGAAAACGTACCGATGAATTTCACTTTAAACATAAAAGTAAATCGAATAAAGTGAAATTAAGATTGCGAATCCTCATAATTTTACCTTGCCATTTGAAAATTTAAATCTCAGAATTTTATTCAACTTGGGATGAAAGTTGTTTAACAAATGATCATAGTTTCAAATTGGTGTTATTGGTTTGTATTACAAGGGGGTATGCACATAAAATGAAACACCGAGATCAAGTAGGGTTAGTCTAAGTTAATGCTCATCACGTACCACACGCGCATTTGTTTTACTGTTCCAACTACTGCTCTTACCCCCTTGTAAAACAAACCAATATAAGCGATTTGAAACTATGATCGTTTGTTAAACAACTTTTTTCATAAGTTGAATAAAAATCTAAGATTTAAATGTTCAATTGGCAAGGTAGAATTATGAGGATTTGCAATCTTAATTTCACTTTATTCGATTTACATTTTTGTTTAAAGTGCAATTTACCGGTACGTTTTCACTCCAAACAGACTATAAATTATGTTAATCAAATACAATACAAATGAGCCCAGAGACTTTCTTCATTTTCAGTAACTGTGGTAATCTAGACTTGCCACATATTCTAGACTTGCTTGGGCTGCATTGGGTATATTTGTTTCAGGGTCTGTGTGACAGACTTATCAGCTGAGGTCCAGAGTTGGAAGAACTAAACGTCAGTCTCATCCTTGAGATAGGTTTATATTTGGCAACTGAAAACAAAACTGATTCAGGAAACATTCTGCAAAAGCTGCAACACAGAAATGGGAAAGTTATACACTCTCTTCTTCCAGATCTTGTCAATCCTGAAAGATATGTACATGCATTGCTGTGAAATATGTATAAAACTTCAAAAGACAACTTCACGCCTCTACAGAAAACAGCGGCACAGAAGAGTTATATTATTACTCTGTTACCTTTAAGAAAACCTTTTATTGACTTTTAACCTGGGTTCACGACTGCTCAGATGAACTGAACTTATTTTGTTTGCTTTTAATAGGAATCCTCTGTCATTCGGGGACAAGTTGTTTGAGTATAGTTTATCAATTATATTTTTTTTTCCTTGTAATATTTTATGGTGATATCACAGTTACTCAAAACAATTTATAGCAAAACATTATTTGTCCTTTTAATTTATTTCCACTTCACATAAATATTGTCTTAGAAGTACATTAGCTTTTATTTTGTGATTCAGTTCAACATGCTCTGCTTCACAGATAAACTACCTGCTCTTTTGTCAGTGACTACCGGTACCCGTGAAGGTCCGGGTTAGAATATTGATCTTCAGCAACCCATGCTTGTCGTAAGAGGCGACGAACGGGATCAGGTGGTCAGGCTTGCTGACTTGGTTGACACATTTCATCCGTTCCCAATTGCGCAGGTTGATGCTCATGCTGTTGATCACTGGATTGTCTGGTCCAGACTCTATTACAGACCGCCACGATATAGCTGGAATATTGCTTAGTGCGGCATAAAACTCACTCACTCACTCTGTCAGTGACTATCAGAATAAAAGATACTGAAGATAGAAAACAATGGTTTAACTATTGATTTATTCTAAAACAATTTTTAAAACAATTTACTCTTTCATGTTGTTCAGAATTGATATTCTTTCATTTAAAACATGATGGCGCTTCATGTTCTTATTGTGAGAATTATTCATATTTTCATGAAACATATAGAAATAACTTTGTGTATTCTATTATATATGGTGTTTAGTTGTGATCTATCGATATGCTTCTTTCCCATGACTCATGGACAACCTGTGTTTCAAGTGTGGAATCCAGTACCAAGCCAGTCTGTTTGTGCAAGTCATGTGTGGTTACTGTGTACCAGATGGCATTGATGAGCGATTCAGTTATTGTTTAGCCATCATTCCTGAAATAATCACAATAGATTATATTTATAAATCTAGCAAAATTACTGATACTTTATGAACAAACCTTTTGTGAAATTTTCATTGAGAGAAAGCATTTTATGAAACAATATGTATTTTTTATTTAATCATCAATATGATGGTGACTTAAATGAATGATTGCAGCTTGGAATAGACATGTTTCAATCCACAAAACATTTGAATATAATGAAAGGTGTTGGGTATACGCTCCAAACATTGATGACTTGTTTCATTTTCATGTTGATGATTTATGGGGGTGACATTTGCTTCATAGTGAAACAGTCAAATCCCCTGCACCCACACCTATCTCCACATTCACATTTATTTATACCCAAGTTCAAGATCCACATCCACATCATCCACATCCACATTCAGACCCACACCTCGTCTACAGCCACACCCACATTCACATCAACATTCACATTCTTGAAACACCCACAAATGCGATAAAATTCATGCCACACCCTAAACCACACCCAGACTTATGCCACACCCACACCCACATTCATTTCACATCCACATTCACACACAAAATTCATGCCATGCCCACATTCACAACCATATTCACACCCATATTCACATTTACACCTACATTCATGACCACATCCACATCAATACCCATTTTAAATATAACACTCCCAAACCCTTACTTAAACACACATTTTCACCCATTAACCATGTTAACCCTAACCCACATTCAATACCTAACCCACACTGATGCCCGAACCCACCCAACATCCTAACCGTAATGGCGCCACCGTCCTCAAAGATAAGACAGCCTATCAACATTCCAGATCCTGAGGTGTTGTGTTTTCCTGACAGATCCTTCATGACAAATCTATTCCCAGGTGCCCTCCACACCTTCACACCTGCAAACATGTGCCCTTTAAGTGACAGATGTCATAAAGTAATCGACAACACTTGTTCCACCAGTAACGGCAATTACCAGGAATTAGTGTGACCATTATCAGTTATGTGAGACACTGATTGGTCTGTTATTGGATTGGACTAATGCCATCCGACAGCTCAGAACACGGCTCTTAACAGAGGAAATAGCAGGAAGTTGGTACACAAACATTGTCAGATTTGTCTTGTCGCGTTTTGTTGAAGTTAAGCAGGAGTTCAGTGATACCATGGAAGCATAGAAGGGATATCAAGACTGGGTCAATCAGTTCTGTAGTATAAGCCCTCTGAGATATCAAGTCATGGTATAACATGGGAACCTCAGTCAGACACATAAAACTATTTCTGACCTGACCTGTCCTTGTTCGATTCCATTAGGGTTGGTGGGGCAGTGGTTAAATGAAAATGTTCGTTTATCACGCCGAAGGCCTGGGTTCGATTCTCCACATGGGTACAATGTGTGAAGCTCATTTTGGTGTCACTCGCTGTGATGTTGCTGAAATATTGCTAACAGCGGCATTAAGCCATATATTCGCTCACTATTCCCTGAGTGCCAAGCACCAGCACCAGTAACAACAAGTACCGTCAATTAATGTCTTGGTTTTACATGGCTGGCTCAACTCTCTGGTCAGATCCTCCCTTGACAATGACCCCAGCGTCCGTCATGAGTGAGTGAGTTTAGTTTTGCACCGCACTCAGCAATATTCCATCTATATCGCAGAGTGTCCGTCATGAATGAAAAGGATGTATTAGCTAAAAAATCATCAACCAAGAACTAAATTTTCAAAAATCTATTCAAAAATCACTTTGACAGGACAGGGAATGATTGATGAAATTTTCTCCTGTGTCACTTCAGAATCATGATTGCATTTTTTGTCACTTGCTTTTTATTCCTAATACCATCTTAGAAACCTCTTTAGGAAGCTTCTCTTTAGTACCACCATGTATTCTAAGGATTGGAATAGTTTTGACTAAAATCTAATCTACAAAAATAAATGAAAACATTTGCCAGTGATTGATGGAGTTTGGATTTGTTGAAAACTTGTAATCTGTAATAAGGAATGGATGATTTTAATGTTTGCAAGAAGT